AAGGCTTGTTTGTATTCCACCACAGCACACAATTTTGAAAGCAGCAGAGTCTTGCCTTGAGCTTGGATCACTGCCCCCAAAAATCTCACCCTTACAAAGTTTCTTTTACAGTCTCAAAATTACAATAAATAGAAAACAAAGTATTGTCCAGAGTGGTTTTTCAGTTTCTCTGCACACCAGCTGTTTGACATCAACAGGCATGCTCAGCATAGAGCCCTCTCTAGTACAACCCACGCAGATTCCTCAATCCAGCAGCTCAGACAACACTTGCTGTCTTTTAGCAAGTACCTGCTCCTGACTGCTTCCATTTCCACAGGCTTTCCCATGGCTTCTTGTATGAGCAACCTTCAGGGTGCCTTTCAGTAGCTCTATCCTATTTCACTTTTCAAGAGCACAGGGCTCAGCTCTGTGTAGCTCACAAATCCAGATCTTATGCCATCTCCCTACATCTCTACTAGCATCATAGCTGGAGGGTTATTTTTAAAATGTCTTATGTATGTGTATTACCTGGTTTTAATGAAATAAGAAATAGAAAATTCTACTCAAAGAAAAATACACAGACTACCTGCTGTAAAACTGTCTGGGCAAACAATTTTAAAATTCCTTAAGGACATCAAATGTTCTTTAACTCAATTTTCTGAATTGAGGGGAACTCACTGTAATGCTACATTTCCTAAGTAGCTTCTTACAGAAGAATTACATGAAGAGTTGAGGAAAAAGAATTCTTTCCATGCTAAGCCCTATTTATAAACTGAAGGATTTCTAAATACACGTAAACATCTTAAATAAATAAATAAAACACATGAAAATTTTTCTTCCAGAATCACTCTGCAGTGTAACAAGAACAGTACTTTTCCTTTACTGCATTATTATGTTCTGGTACTAACCCAAAAGTTCACATCATTTTCATTTCTTTATTGCCAATAGCCATCTAGGAAATGCTGCCATCAATAGTAAATCTACATGAAGTCACACTCCTTTGGTGCATTTTGTGAATAGCAATCAGTTCGTAACACAATCCTGTTCGTTTAAATTCAGTTTATTCTTCAATTACTCTGCTAGCCCAACTCTAATTTATTATATTTTCTGGTACATTTGATTTTGAATATTATGACATCCTGGCTCATGCCATTAGAGAGGAAACATAAAATGGTGAGGATGTCTAGGGACGGCTGAGAGTAAGATAGCAACAGCCTGGAAAATTAACAATACCACTGCCTGTGCTCAGCTAGACCGCTCCCGCATTAGCAGTAAAAAAAATTTGTCAGTATTTCTCTAATATAGACTTGTCATCTAGGAACAGCCTCAGAGGCACCATAAAACCCCAGGCAGCACAGCAGGCAGCTGGGGTGATTGGGTGGGCGGACAGCAGCCACTGAGCCCACTGGGGCAGCTCAGCTGCAGAAGAAAGGAAGCACTGGCCCTGATGCTGCTTGGAGCTCCCCAAAGAAAGAAACCAACACAGTTCTAAATGCCATCAATACTATATGCATTGATTTTTTGGTTGGCTTTTTTTAGCTTTGCGTTGTCTCAGTCCCAGCTACCATTTCTTTTTTTCCCAGTACCCAAGGTGAAATGTGAGGCAGCAGCCAGAAGCCTGCTCAGAGCACCATTCTTGAGGAGCCGGGCAGAAGGGAGGGCTTCACCTTCCCCTCCAGCTTGGTGACCGACTTCATTAACCTTCAGGGCACGCTGCCAGTCCCACCTGCTTACTCAGGCTTTTGCCAACAAGGGAAGCTCTCACTGCACTGCTTTGTCCTTCGAAGATGCATCCTCTTTCGCTTACTTCTTACTACTGCCTAACATTTGGCATTGCAACTCCTGAATCCAGAGAATGGAGGGGCAGTCCTGATGGGGAAACATCAGACTCCTGTATTCATATCCGACCTTTTTCCCTACAACAGATTCTGACAACCTCAAACATGAAAAATGCTTATGCTTCTGCACAGCTTGCTCTGTCCCAAGAAATTCCACACTGCGTTTTGAAAACAATATGTATTTCCCTTCTTTTGTCTGTTGTTCTGAAAGCCTGAAAAAAGCTTACCAAAACAACACACAAGAGTGAATGCTTTACAGGGAAACTCAGGCAGACGGGCCCATAAGGGGCTGCCAGCATTGGAAAGAAATTGCAGTGGGGAAAATCTGGCTGGATCCAAATCTTCACTCATTACTTTGTCCTCCAGAAAAAAAAATCAAGCAGATTTATTTTCCCCTAAAGGATAATAAAGTTTTCAGCTGTTTCTAAGCTGTCTTGTAGCTCAGGCAGTATTGCCAACTTTTCCTAAACCTCATAAGCAATAAGGATTTTACTAATGATGCAGTTGCTGCAACTGTTGCATTAAAAAGACAATGTCAAAAGTTACATGTAGAGATGATTACAATTACATGGAGCTAACTTACAAAACCAAGAAGTGCCATGTTTTAGCTTATCCACTGCCTTTCAATTTTCCCTAGTTTCTCCTGATTACATTGTAATCCAGTTGCTGGTTTCTGAAGTTTCTTTCCCCTGCAACCCAATCCCACACAAAGGATGGACACAAAAGGGAGTGGCATAAGGGATGCTTAAGCATACTTCCACTGTTAGGTTGCTTAATTTCACACTTAGGAGACCCCACTGAAAGACAGTTATTGGTGCACGAGAAATAAGGGGTACAGTTTCAGCTTGTGAAACCTGATGGAATCAACTCAGGCCATATTTAGGTAGGATGAAGAACGGGGACAGAGGGGCTCTCCCCCCGGTTAAGTGCCATCACAAGCCCCAGTGCAATGTCGCATTACCAGCACGATGAGAAAAGCTCCTCTCATTTTGGTACTGCTACCAGGAAAACACACCACCCAAGCTCTTCAGAAGCAATGACAACTCTGGCTGTAACCATTTTCTCTTCTCATACCATGTACCCCTAAGTGACCTGCCCATGCTTACACTGCAAATCAATGCACATGCTCCAGCGTCTCCCTGCACCTGCTCTCATTACTCCGTGTTTGAAACAAATCTTGAACTGACACTGGAGACTCAATTTCACTTCCCAGTGGGCAGAGTAATCATCAATAATTGATGTCAGTTGCTTTCATTTGGGGCACTGCCTTGGGCGTGCAACAGAGAGTTACGGTATGCACCAAGCAAAGGAGGATTTGTATATAAAATGATTTGATAATCTGAAAAAATCCCTCAGTAAACAAAGGAAATTTACAGATAATCGTATTAAAGATTAGAGTTGTTTTAAAACAATGCAGAATGTATTTGAGAACATCTGGGAAAAAAGATGGTAATATTAAAAGCAAAATCTTTGGGGAAAATATCCCCCCCCTCAAACAGGAAACAGTAATTAATTCATTATTAAATCCTAATCCTTGTCAATTCATGTTAAGTCAGAGCACTTTTTCTAATAAAGACTGTTATCACCATACTCAAATGCAATTTTATATGTAAATACTTAAACATATTTAAATACAGTTTTAACTCTGATTAAATGGTTGCTTGATTATTCCATTTATTAATTGCTTCTAATTTATTTCAAATTTGAGAAGCAGAATACTTTTATATCAGAAAACTAGGTTTAATATTAAACAAGGACAGAACAATCTGTGACTGAGAAAAAAATATCATGACAGCAAAAGTAATTTGATGTCTTTGCTTTCATGTTTACTCATCAGCTGGAAAATTAAGAAAATAACTCCTTTTATCTTACAAAGATTACTATTTTTTCATAATCCATTTACTATGTTCCGAAGTTTTGGTGTGGCAATTTACATGAAAATCCCCACAGTGAAACCCATAAACTGTTTATGACATTTTCTATAATCAGTGTTGACAATTAAAAGTACTGCTCTTCTATTTAAACATCTCATGATTGAAGCTCCTCACTGCTGTTACTGCTGACAGTGACAGAAGACTATTTACTTCACAACTAAAAAGTAAAAACTACAGAACTGAACAATAATTAAATTGGTAAAAACACCCTTGATCAGATTTCTATAACGTCTTTCACTGTTGTATTTCTTCTATAAAAATACTTAATGTTAGAGCTAAATCTGGATTTCTAAGGATTTCTAAGATCTGAAAAGAAGAAAGAAAGAAAAGAGAAAGTACAGGTTTGTTTTTTCCCTTTTTACACTGTTTTACTTATTTATGTACAGAAATTAATTTTATATATACACACACATGTAAAGTTCAATGATAAGCAGAATGTTAACCAGATCTGCACCAGCAGCTATGGAGCCTTAGCAAAGAATGCCAGTCAGGGACACTTTGTTTTAACCATATCATCATAACCGTGCTGAATTCAGTGACTGCCTTGGGAGCAGAAACAGGCAAAAGGATTCTCACGCCCATAAAGGATCCCATGGAGTCACTGCTGTGGATTCAACTGTAAAAGTCAAGCTACAGGGATGGCAAAATAGGACTCAACATGTGATACAGCACCTGAAAAATGACATATACAGGATAGCAATGGCTCCTAACACACATGGGTGCATTGTAGTGAAGGCCCTTCTTTCCTGCACATCAACTTAACCTGCTTAGCAGGTTTTCAGGTATAGATAGATTCACCTACAGGAACACTATAAAACAAACCATCTTCTTTATCCTTGAAGCCAGTATCAGCTAAAACATAACTCTCTCCTCTTCGACAATCTGAGGCAAAAATTAAAAACTCAGCACAAGCTGACATTGCCGTGCGAAATAAGCTGCCTTCACTGAATTTGAAGTTTACTTAAAAGCTTCACCTGTTGTGAAACTCACATCTGATTGTAGAAGGCAACAAGTCAAGCTGTACACAAAAGTTCCTAGTCAAGCATCTTCGACTTCGTAACAGCACAACACTTAGGAACATTTCCTGGCTTCACAGCTTTCCAAACTTTTCAAAATATGTGTTAGGAAAGCATTACGCTTCTACAGCATTTCTCTGGTCAATGGCACACATCCCTTATTGCAGAAGAAAGGACTGTTAACAGTTTTCATTTCACACTCCAGTAACGCAAAATCTTGTGTTACCACTCACTTCAGTGTTACTTTTCCCACAGATTCTCCTTTTCTGCTTACACGGCAAGACAGCTCAGGTCAAATGCCCAGACAAGCTGTGCTGCTGATTCTCCTTTTTACCACCACTGAATCACCTTCACTTTTGCTTCACCACAAAGTTATTTTCCCTGCAAAAAAGCAGGAGAGACACATTCAATCAAAAGTCGGCAGCTACAGTCAAAATGGATTTCAAAGTGGGAAAAAAACTCTCCTCACAACTAAATCCTTAAGGATTATTTATGCAGGATCATTCCAACACTGTATAAATACACCAGGACAGGTATATATGTTGCTGCTCATGCGGTGAAGCCCAATTTAGCTTGTGTCCCTTCCAGCTGCAAAATATAAAAGTATCAGTGCTGAACAGACATGCTGAGCCACCCTCCTGATAACAGGAATGAAGAGTAGTTACTTTGCCAGACAAAGTAGAAAGATACCTTTTTTATTGGAGATTTCAAAAAAAGAAATATTTGGCAGTTGTCACTGAATTCTTATGATGCTTTCTTATGTGCACGTACGGACCTAACTTACACAGTTTTAAGACATTTGCATGAAATGCATGATAGACCCACAATACACAAACATATCTTATGTATTTTTAGCTTAATTGAATCTGAATGAGTCTAGCTTTACGTTTAACATCTAATGGAATTAAAATAGTTAAGAAGCAAACCTAAAATCTGAAGGCATTCAATACTGGTTTAATACTATGCAGGAAACCCTGTGAATTTTAAACCTTCCATATTCACTTAAAGCAGAAATGACAGTTTAGCAATGGACTAATTGTAAAAACAGTCCAGGAATTGACTTGTCCTAATTTTTAATTAACATAAAGGCAGGAACGAACTATTTTATTAATTCACCCTGTGAGCCTTCATTAGCTTCTGTCAATAACAATAAAAGGCTGAGAAACCTGCTCTAGAACAAAAGATATAAAAACAGGAAAAAGAGGCCAGACAGAAGGAAACCCTCATTGATCTGCTCTGGAAGAAGTTTGACTGAAAACGTTTTTTGAGAAGTTTAAAAAACAAGTTACTTCAATGCAGAGCTGGGGCAGCCCCCAGGGCTCAGTGTGGGTTTAGCTGAAAGCTGTGGTGCACATGCACAGTGCCAACGGTGCTTAGAGCTGTTTGATCAGGACAGGGTTTATGGCAAACTCTTCAACACCATCAGAATGCTTACACAACACATCAGGATCTATGTGATCTTGTGATGATGCATCAATCAACTTTCACTCACTGTTAATTCATTCTGGTTATAAACAAGTGCTAAACAACTCGATTAAAAAAAGCAATGTAAGAGAAAATTACATGGGGCAGGGCAATAGATCCAGTAAGAAGAGGCAAGAAGACAAAGAAGGGTGGGCCACTAGTAAACAAATGCATAAACTTGGAAGTAACAATAAGGAATCCTCCTCTACATGAAGTGGCAATAGTCATAACTCGTTTGGATTTTTTCTGTAACTTTTAACATCCAAACATGTAGAGGCAACTTAATAAGATGCACATTAAAGTATTTAATCTACCACAGATATTCAGTGCACTATCCACAACGCACATCCAGATGTTAATGTCTCCAACATCCTTCGTGAAAGGTGACTTGCTCTAGATGGAGGCTACTTGGCCATAAGATGGACTTCAAATGTGCTGCTCTGCACGGGCTGTTACTGATGGCCGTGGAAGAATTAGCTGTGTTGAAGTCAAAATGTGGTTAGCTTAAGTGTCATGTAGGGGTTACAGGCTTTGTTCTTGGTATTTTGGTTTTGCTGGTCAATTAGAGGAATTATTTGGATGGCATGGCCACAGCCACAGAAACCCCCACCAGAGGCTCTATTCTACTGCCAGTACAACACAGCTCATTTCACCTGAGGACTATGAGGTATGGAGACAAAAGCACTTTCACTTCGTGGCAAAGTAAAATGCACCAACAAAGGTGGCTCACTCACACTAGTCAAGCTTTTTTCGTTTGTTTTTTTAAATTAAGACCTTGCTCAGGAATGCCAACCAAAACTCGACGGCCAGAAAAATCAGGGCACCTGGATTCTGAAACATTGCTTTGTATCATAATAAAAGCCTCCTGGGTTGGTCCTTTCAAAGCAAACATAACATTCCTGTGGCAGAACATGTCAGCTTGTCCAAGCACAGGACAGCAACCACAGAAAACCCTTTCCACAGACTGGTTTTGGTACATAAGTCAGCCTCCATCAGCTTTGGTTGAATTTAAATTTCCTTCTGTTGTGCCAAAAAACCCTCTGTTGCACCAGCTTTCTTCTTCCTATCTATGAACTCCGAAACAAGGATTAGCACCAATCTGAAGAACAAAGAAAGCCACAGGAAGGCAAGAGCTTAAAATCCTCCATCACCAGTACTCTTTGGTCTTTTGAAGCCACAGTTTGTACAATGACGCTGCAGTAAGAGAGAATTGTCTGTGGCAGAGAGCTCAGATTAAAGCAAAAATTGCATGCGAAGAACATAACAAACATCTACACAATGAGTACAACTGCAAGAGTCAATAAAAGTGTCAAGATTTAAGAACACTGACTTGAACCCAATAATAAACTGTGCTTACTCCTAATTGTCTTCTAAAGAGCCAGCCCCTGGGAATGTACAACACAGGCATCCTGACATCTTCCACTGGGCTTGTGCAACCTCTTTGGAGAAGGTCATGGGAACATGCAGTGGGGTAGTGTGACCTCAGGGACTAGGGAACACAGCCTGTATCACACTTCAAAAACACTCCCACTGTAAGGAATGTACAAAGCAGAAGCAGGAAGCATGTAGCTCATTTTTTCCCCACTGTGCAGAATAATATCTGACAGCACTACACCACTCCAGGCAACACAATCCAAAAGTACTGGTTTGCCTTTCTGCAACTACTGGGTGCCTCCCTTTGCCTAGGCATATACAAGTTCTCCCTTAATATGGATCACTTTTCATTGTGCTCTATTGCTAGAAAAAGGACAAATAAGTCATAGTTCCTTCTATTTCGTTATCTAGAACTACTTATTACTACAATTTACAACATTTTAAAACTGGATTCGTTCATATATTGGATATACTACTTGAGCAAATCGCATTTTGTTCTACAAACAAGGGTTCTTCTGAAAAATTCTGTACAGCCCATCAAACAGTGGTTAACTGTATCAAATCTCTCCAATGAAATACAAAAACACTTCCAAGTGACAGAAGAGCCAACAAGAAGAGGTGCTATGCTGAACTTTGTTCTCACCAACAAAGAGGGTCTGGTATGGAATGTGAAGCTAGGGGAGAGCCTTGGCTGCAGTAACCTTGGAATGGTCGAGGACCTTAGGGCAGCGAGCAGAGCAGGCTGAGTACTCTGGGCTTCAGGAGAGCAGACTGGGCTCTTCAGGGATCTGCTCAGCTGAGCATCATGGGATAATGTCCTTGAGAGAAGAGATGCTCAGAAAAGCTGGTTAATATTCAAAGATCATCTCCACCAAAATAAGGCTTTGACCAACCTGGTCCAGTGGCAGGTGTCCCTTCCTGGGGATTGAAACTTGATCTGTAAGGTCCCTTTCTACCCAAACCATTCTGTGATGACTCAATGATTCCTCTCTGTGGAATGAAGGAAAAACAGCCAGGCAAAATACGTCTATCACTCCATCCCAAAGTGAACCAACTCTCCCTGGGTAAAAATTACCTTCCATGTAACATTGATCTGACTCATTTATAATCTAATAATTACTTTCCTACCTTATTTAGTCTGGTTTATTGTGATGACAGTGAGAAAATTCTAGACATTCTTAACAACATGCCACAACTCCAGAGCAGTATCAACTTGCTTACTTGAAGCAAAAATGAGACTGCAAATATTGAGCTATGTTACCCCAAGTTTCCATGTCAAAAATAGTTCCCACTATTTGAATGGAAAAAATGCAAAGCAATTTGAAATCTTGTACGTTCACAAGTCATCTGACTTTATACCAAACAGCTGCATACTTTGGCTTTTCTGTTCACCAACTAACACAGAGCTCAGCAGGAGAGACTCTCTAAGAGATTCTGCTCCTGTTCCAGCCTGCAAATTACTTGCTAAACTGACATCAGTAGAAATAAGCATCTATGAGAACATAAAGGGCTGACATCTCTGGTACCACCAAAGTGCTTCAGAAATAAAAGACATGCCTGTAGTACTGCAGAGCATGTTGCAAGGATGAAGTCAGCTTGGATCCCCTGTAACAGTGGGGCTGGGGGCATCTCCACGTGTGTCGAGGAGCAGACCTATCAGCCACCAACACCATCTCATGCAGAATACAGAGCAGTCAGTGTGAAAACACACAAGTTCAGCCCCTGCATTTTGCAAACATTAATCCTGACCCCGAAAACATTTACATGCAGGCTTATCATTAAGCCTAAGAACAGATCCTCTAATTCCAAAAGAAATACTTGGATGTTTAAAACTAGGGATATGCAAGCACAAACATGTACAGAATTAGGACCAAAAAAACCACAAAAGAAGACTCCATAATATTATTAATTTTTATTGCTCCATAGAAATCTTGGCCTATCAGTTATATAACTTAATACTAATATTTAAAAGCATTTTCATCTTTAAAAGGACAAACTCCACTGATCTAATCAAGCAATAAAACAGCATGCAATTCAACGGTGTCACATTAAAAATGCTTCTGCAAACTAAATCAACAAAGAATTTTCAAATATCAGAGACAAGCCACTGCCGTATCAAATAGGGAACCAGCTTCCTCTGATGCCTTTTACACCAGGGAGCATTTTAACACCAAATGAATATTGTTTTCTTATTAGTTACAGCTCTTAATGTCTACTAGCTCTTTAAAGAAGAAGCATTTTGCTGACACGAGGCAGTAATTTATATTAATGTAATGTCTAGTGTACATCATGTCTTTCCACATTTCACTTTGATGCTGTTCTTCCCAGTTGCTTTCAAATATGTTAACATTTGTCAGAAGTACAGAAAAATGACATAAAAGAAGAAGGGGATATTTTGGCCTATTTTCAAGTATACAGTTTTAACTAGTAGCTAACAGACTTCTGCTGTTTTTTAGTAATACAGGCCCATAAATATATACCAAGATTGAAACTGCTCAGTATGGATAAAGGCTTACAAAAAAAGAAACTTTCACTCAGGTGATCAGTGCTTCCGTGCGAGTATATAACAAACAAATGTCAAATGTTGCAATACTAAAGCAACCATTTTTGGCAGGGCAGGTTTTAGTAAGCTTATTTTTTAACCTGTCTCAGGAGAACAGTACTTTTCCACACAATCACCAGCTTACATTCCTCTTGAAAAGTTCTGTCCCTAAACTGTCACATGTTTTTGTTGTTTTGATAACAGAAAAGTCAGGTGCAGTGTTAAGAAAAGATACCACGTTTGCAAATCTCAGACCTGAGCCTCCAAGGCCCTGGGCTCCCTCTTGCTGAAGTCACCATGCAAAGTTAAGGGTGAATACAGTTAGAAATTCAGTACCGAAAACTCATGACAAAATTATGAGCTTTAAAAAATATCCATAGATTTTAGCATTGCAGCAGTACAAGCACCTTAAAACATAATATTACAACATTTTTATTATTATTAAAAAAAAAATCTACTAGGGCACAATAGTGTTATTTGCAGCCTGCTGACTCTGGAATTAATAATTTTATATTGTATTGTGTTCAGGAGAGAGGATTCCTTACTCAGTGATCTGATAATTAGAAAAAAAAGAAAGAGTAATTATAAAGGACTCCTATTAAGTCTTATAGTTCTAGCAAATACACTGATATAATTTGTTTCCATTTTGAGGAAATTCGTTTTAATAAAGTCGGGGCAGCATATGGTACAAGCATGTTTATTTTCCAAGTGGTAGGGACACTAACCAAAACCATCTGATAT